GACGTGGTGGTGGTGCACGGCCGCAGGACCGCTATCGGCCGCGCCCGCCGCGGCGGCTTCAAGGTACGGGCCGGGGATCCTGCCTCTCCTGCAGGTCCCCACAGGTGCTTGGCATCCCCGTTGGGAAACGGCTTCTCCCTTCTTCGGCTCCCCTCCTTGCACTCCTGGGTGCTGCACCGCTGCTTGCCGCCCAGACACCGCCCCGGAGCTGCTCTGCTCTGGAAGAGTCCAAATCTGGACGCTGGATGATGGTTTTAAGGCTGGGGGTGGCAGCGCCAGTGGATCCCCTAAAGGAGTCGGGCATTGTCCCGAGGGGTCCCCAGCTCCCCCGGCAGCCCAGGGAGCCATCGCAGTCCTGTCACCTGCCTTGGCACACGGAGCAGCCCCGGCGTGTCCCTCACTGCACAGCTTGGCACGGACCTGCCACCCTTCTGGAACCTGCTCCTCCCTGGGTGGCATCCACAGAGTCCTGGGAAAGAACAGGGTGCCAGGATGACCCCAAAGGGTGCTCGTTCCTTGTCATCCTTCCAGACAGGTCTCCTCATGCTGGCGGTACTTCCCCCTAGCTGAAGGGTCACCCTTGTTTCTTTCACAAAATCAGTGGAGGGGCTCCATTTACTGCGGCTTGTCACATAAATCTCTGTAGTTGTGTGTGACTTTGAAGGCCCTGCAGAGCACGTTCCTACAAATCCAAGGAAGGTGAGAAAGAAAGCAGCATGTGTGTTACAGTGCCTGAAGGAAACCTAGGGTAAAAACATGCAGGTAATTCTGCTGTGGTAGGAAAACAACAACCACAGTGAGCTGAGAAGTGGAGTAAAGATGCCTTAGTGCCACTGGCCAGCCCTCTGAAATGGTGTGAGGCTGAACTGGTGACAGGGCACTTACTGGTGTTCACTGATGGTGCTGGTCCCCTGTGCTTTTAGGACACAACACCTGATGAGCTGCTGGCTGCTGTGATGACAGCTGTCCTTCAGGATGTCAACCTCCGTCCTGAAGTCCTGGGAGACATCTGTGTGGGTGAGTGACTGCCTCTGCCTGGTGAAATGCCTGGTCTGGACAGCAGTGTGGGACAGGCTCCTCATGTGGGATGCTCACAAGTCTTGTGGGGCTGGAAGGGGTTAGTGTGTAGCATTAGGATTTCATGCCTGTCCTGTTGGTGGTGGGGCTCTGATCTGGGGCTGAGCAGTACCAGACTGTGGTGATGGGAACATCCCTTCAGTGCCTGTGAGGGGAACACAACCAATTGACTGGAATTGTGTCTTTGCACTCAGGGAATGTGCTGCAGCCTGGAGCTGGCGCCTTGATTGCAAGAGTTGCACAGTTTCTAAGGTAAGCTCTCAGCCAGACTGAGGTTCTTCCTCTCCTCCTTGGGCTATGGAGTAGCACAGGGTTGGAGATTGCAGCGAGGCTCATGCACTCCCAGGAATTAAAACAAATCACCTTTTGCCTAGAAACTGGACTTTGATCGAGCGCTCAGAGAACACTGATGGCAGAGACAGGGAGGCAGGTGAAGCTGATCTGTTTGTGCTGCCTGTGTTGGGCCTCTGAAAGGGACATGATGTTTTGTGGGCTCCCAGCTGCACTGTCTGTGAGGCTGCCCCTCTCTCTTCTGCATCTGGTCCCAAAACTATGGATGGGCTCAGATCTTTCTGTCATTGCCCAGTACTGAGATGGATCCTAGATTCCAAATATTTCAGTCAGTTTCTGTTGCCATTGTTTGCTTCTGTTAATCACTGCACAACTACCACTTTAGAGAGGTGCAGGCACAGCCAGCCAGCCATAATTATGAATATTATAGAGCTTTTCAGGGTTTCTGGCCTGGTCAGAGCTCAGGATCTCCAGGGGAGGGCCTTGCTTAGAGAGCACCTTCTGAAGACAGACCCATGGGGACAGAGCACTTTGAGTCACTTGCAGATGAAGTGAGGAAATTATCTTTGAACTTTGCTTTCCCTTGGTGCAGGACCAAATAGATCAAGAAATGGATAAAGGGATCTGCTTGGAACTTGAGAGTTAAAATTTAATCAAGTGGATTAATGCACTCTTTAGAGATTTGGGTTGTTGTTGGTTTTTTATCACTGAGCCTTTGCCAACACTGTCTTGTTTTCCAGTGGTATTCCAGAGACAGTGCCGTGCTCCAGTGTGAACCGGCAGTGCTCCTCTGGGCTACAGGCCATTATCAACATAGCTGGTAGGTGTTGTGGGCACTGGCATCAGAGTCGATGCCTGTCCCATCCTAAGGGCTCATTCCTCTTGTCCTCCAGTCTCTCTGAGCAGTAAAACAGTGATAATGTCTTGTGCTGTAGGGAAGTTTCAGTGTGGTGTTAGCTAAATACTTTTATATCCTTGAGGCCAAGTTTATCCCTAGACAAATGACTTGGTTTTCTGGGAAAAAATTCCACCATCACCTCCATATCAGGCAGCTTCCAGAAGGGTCCCTCCAGTTCTCTCTGGCCCCATGTTAGTCCTCAGCCCCATCAGCTGCTTGGCCTGGCTCTCACTCTGGCAGGCAGGAGGGTGAGGAAGTGCCCATTTGGCTGTAGTGGGTGCTCAGGTGTTTGGAAACTGCAGCTGGGCTGGAAATGCTTTTGCTCCTGATGACAGTAAGAATATTTATGCACTGCTGTTACAGGTGGCATCCGAAATGGATCGTATGACATTGGCTTGGCCTGTGGGTAAGGAAGTATTTTCATAGTGCTTGCTTAGGCTTCCTGAAGGTAACACTCTGTTCCTGTGCAATAGCCTGCCATAATTAGCTTTTTAGCTAATCTCCAATTAAATAGCCTCTTGAAAGACAAGCAGCTCTCTTGGATGAAGAAATTAATATCCTACGTGTGCTAATGAGTGTTCTGCAGATGTACAGGATCTGTGCTGTGCTGGACAGACGAGCTGTTCTGTGCTTCAGTCCTAATATCACAAGCAATGTTTGTTTTTTGGAGGATTATATAAACGTTAGGTTGGTTTTGGGGAAATACTAGTGACCATATACACATTGACTTCAGAAGAAGGAATAAAAAAACCAAAACTGTTCAGTAATCCTGAGGCTAAAATACTGAGTTTCTCTTTTTTTTATAGCTTGATGACTCTAATCTTTCATTAATTATTACTGCACACAGTAATGTCCCCCAAGGTATTGTGCTTAAAGGGACTGACGGCTTTTGCACCCCTGGGTATGCCAGACACTGGGTTTTGTTGTGGGAAGTTGTCTGGCCTCTGCCCTGCAGGGTTCTCCATGAAGACACACATTCCATAAGTTACAAATAGCTTCTGGGAGCTGGGTTTATCTCAAGTCTTACTTTTCCACAGAGTGGAGAAACCCTGAATGAAAACACAAAAGACTGTAGCTGGGGTTTCTCTTACTTAAAACCCATTCCTATGGCTTCCTCCGGGAGCAGATGTAGCTGAAGTCAATGATGGAGTGTCCCATCTTTGAGCTAGATTAAACTGCTGATAGCACTTACTACAAGCTGTCTTACTTTCTGCTTGCCTTTAATTTTCCAGGAATAGTTTCTTTGTTATTTATTCTTCCTGAAGGTATTTTTGTGGTGCAGAGTGGAATTCAAACCCTCTCCCCGTTGTAGGTTTCATAATCTAGATTGACCTTAGAAAAGCTCATGAGTCTTAAAGTGATAGCTTTGTATTTCTGCAGTGAATTTGAGGATCTTCAATGTGTTAATTAATTTGTGGGTGAAAGATTGCACCCTGTGTGATCCAAGTCTGAAATTCTTTGTGTTGCGAAACACAAATGGTGCAACACACTGAAATCTCTTTGCCATGGTTTGCTCAATACTTCTTTTTCTACTGCCAACCTGTTCTTAAGATCTGAGTGTCTGATTCTTAAGATTTTTGTGTCTGTTGACAATCTCACTGAAAACTCCAGCCCTTGAACCTCATTATGTTTGAGGACAAATGTGCTAGAATCATAGCAATTCCTTTCTAGCTGTGGAAACACAAGAAATTAACTGCTGACATTGGTATCCTGTTCTAGTGAAGCAAGAACCAGTTGAATATCACAATCTGTTTTCATTTCATGATAATTCTTAAACTGATGATTAAAGAGCTTCTGCCTTAACCAGTTCCTAATTAGCAGCTGTGTTTCTGTGGGATAATAGGAAAACATGTTGTCAGGATATTGAGTTTTGATCAGTCTTAATGGAGCAATTTAAATTTTTCTTGTGCTCAGTGTGGAAACAATGTCCCTCAGAAGTGCCAATAACCCTGGTGATATCAGTTCCAACATGATGGATAACCCCAAAGCTCGAGACTGCCTTATTCCTATGGGGTAAGTGTTTCCACTTCCCACAGTTTAAGGGTTTTATAGATGCTCTGTCTCCTCAGTGACCATAGTTACAAATTGACCTAAATGTGGTGAGCTTGGAGCTGTGTGCTTTGGCATCCTTGGTTGTGGTGGAAGATTAATGATATGAAATGGGGGGAAATCACCAACTCTGATCAAAGATTTAAGATCAATGGCTTGTTGAGCAAGGAGAACAGATTTGAACATTGTTCTGGTCCTAGATTTGATTCAGGATTAGCTCCTGCCAGCAGTTCTAAGTTGAGAAGGCAGCAGTTAGCTTTCAGACTAAAGCCACTGCTTGTACCTGGTGTGATCTTAGTAGAAGCCAACTGCAGCCCCATTAGATGTGTCCTAGGATTAACTCTGTGATGTTTTTTTCCCCAGAATAACCTCAGAAAATGTGGCAGAGAAGTTTGGAGTTTCCCGGAAGAAGCAAGATGCCTTTGCCTTGGCTTCCCAACAAAAGTAAATGGTTTTTTTTGTTAGACCTTTTGGATTGAACTTTTTAGTTAAGAAATAAGCACAGCTAGAAAACACACTGCTACTTCCTGGTGAAGTGCAGCCTTTGTGTTGCCTTCCAGTCCTTGATAATGAGCCAAGAAGCTTGAGGGGGTCTGACTGAAATTCAGTGCCTGTGCGGGGTTGTGTGTGATGAGGGAACTGGAGTCCAGAGCTGTACTGGGATTGTGTGACTCACACAAGTATCACTGGCCACACAGACCCTGAACAGTGAGTACCCTGCTTGTTTCAGCATCCAGCAGTCCCTGCCCATGGCACTGGAGGTGGAACTGGATGATCTTTAAGGTCCCTTCCAACCCAAACCATTTTGTGTTTCTGTGACAGAACCTCAGGGAGGTTTCTGGGATGAGTGCGTGGTGAGGTATTTTCACAGTGGCTTTGGCTCAGGATCACTGGAACCTGAACGTGGGAGCAGCAGCAGCAGGAGCCTCTCCCATGAGGGAACAGTTGAGTGTGGCTGTCTGTAGTGAACTGCTGAGCTTGTGAGAAGAGTGGCTTGTCCTTGCTGCAGGTGTTTGGCTCTGAGTGAGTCCAGTCTGATAACCTTCCTCTTGGCTTAAATCACTGCCAAAGTCAACTGACCCCAGAATCTGTAGGACTCTACTGCCTGAGCAGTGGCAGGTGATATGGTAAAGTTTCTGCCATCAAAGAGTTAAACTTGATTTCAGAGCTCTGTTTAAGCATCAGCCTGGTCCAATTATTTATCTAACACAGGAAGCCACTGCACAGGGTAGTTAACCTTTAAATTCCGGCCCTGCTGCTCAGGGAACTTGGCATGCCAGCCTTTCTCACTGCCATGGAACTGATAACCAAAAAGAGTATGTGAATGTGATTCTAACTCTCACATGAGGCAAGGGCTGACTTTCTGGCCTTGGTCTCAGGATATCTGTGGAGTTACTGACCTGTCCTTCAGTACTTTGCTCCAGTTCTCACTTACCTGGGAGCATTGAATATTTTCATTTTATTGGTAAAAGTGCAAAGTGATGAAGGGGTAAAACAAGCTTCTAGTCTCCAATTTGTATTCTCTGTGAAGGATTTACCTCTGGAAGGTAAATCTAAATAAGCTCTACTTTGAAGGCTTTTAAAATAGCTTGTTGATAAGAAAGATTAAATCTACATGGCTTGAGCTAATTCTGGTTTAGTTAATTGTATTCTATCTGGTCATGACAGTTGTTGTCTGCTACTAGTTCAGGGTTCATTTATTCTCTTACATTTGTGATGTGGCTGTACCCCTGAACAAACAAAACTTCATGCTGGGGGCTGGTGGTGGTCAGTCAAGGCACAGAGGTATTGATGGGAACAGAATGGGGCTCCTGCTTTGAAATGAGTGATCCAGATTTGGGGACAATGCTCATAATGTTGATGTAGAGGTAAAAAGTTTGTCTTCCCATGAATGCAAATAAGAATTTGCCTCTTGTCTTGACCACCACTCGGCAATGATGTACCAAATCCCACCTTAGTTCATTCTCTATCGGACTGCTTTCCTTCAGTTCTCCTGCAGTTCACCTCCAAAATATTTTAACCTTTCATACTCTTTTTTTTTTCACCAGAGCAGCAAAAGCTCAGCAGATGGGACTATTTAAAACTGAGATTGTTCCAGTGAAGACCACTGTTGCAGATAATGAGGGCAACAAAAAAACAATCACTGTGCACCAAGATGAAGGGATCAGGCCCTCTACAACACTGGAAGGCTTGGCAAAGCTGAAACCTGCCTTCAAAGAGGATGGAAGCACTACAGCAGGTCAGCTCAGTGTTACATTTGTGCTGTTCCTCTGGTTTCCCTGCCTTCACTAGAACAAAAAACATGTTAATAGGTCTCTTCCAACAGGGAATGCCAGCCAGGTCAGCGATGGAGCAGCTGCTGTTCTCCTGGCAAAACGCTCCAAGGCAGCACAGCTGGGCCTGCCGGTGCTGGGTGTGCTCAGGTCCTTCGCTGTGGTGGGGGTTCCACCCGATGTGATGGGCATAGGGCCAGCCTATGCCATCCCTGTTGCTGTGGAAAAGGCAGGTGAGAACCACCTGCCACTCAGGCAGTGCTGGGCACAAGCAAATCAGATTCCTTGGATTGAGATTTAATGTTATATTATTCAAGCATGTGCAGCTCTTGGCCCCAGGAACCATGAAGTTAAACTTGAAACCTTAAAAGAGGTCCTCCCTCAGATGGTTGAAATGCTTTTCCCTTGTACTGGTGTGTAAATTGTCATTCACTCACCTTTGAGAAGCTCAGGAGTAAATCTCTGCAGAGGCTCAACAAGAGTTGACACGTGGCAAGTGATTTAGTGTTCTCTTAGTGCTGTTTTCCCTTGTTCATTATGACCAGTGTATACGGGGTGGTTTTTGTGTTTGGTTTTTTATGTTCTTTATAATTTTATCATCTTATTTAGGTTTTTTACTACACCTACTGGGTTAAACAGGTTTTGTAGATGATGAGCTGATTTAGCCTGGCCTGGCTGCAGTCACATGCCCACCTGTAGCTTTATTTTACACTCTCCAAACACCCTCAATCCTTAATCCCTCTGCAGAGAAATCACACTTAGTCTGAGGAAACTTGCCAGACTCAGTGACACGATGCCATGGGCTGACATTTTGCAGTCTTTAGACATTGTTGTACATGAACTTGTTTAAGTGTAGATACTCCACATGGAGCTGAAGTTCCTCTTTTTTAGATGGAGTAGAACAGGAATTCATAGAAGGAAGCTATCAGGCAATTACTCTCTTTGATATAGTCATGAGGCAAAAATATCTCTTTTTAACTCTTGACTTTTCTGGCCCATAGGTCTGACTCTGAATGACATTGATATATATGAAATTAATGAAGCCTTTGCAAGCCAGGTGAGTGAGCATCACCTTTGTGTTGCTACACAGCTTGGCAACTGAGTGTGTTTCAGCTTGGTCTTCAGGTTAAGATTTTTAACTTGTTCCACATAGTACATCTTCAGCCAAATGTTAGTAACATGTGCAGACTATTTTCCTTTTCCTTCAAATAAAAATGACCAGGGCATTGCTTATACAGCTTAGTATTAAAGAAATAAAAAAGGTCCACTAAGTAAGAATTGGCTATTGTACTCTCATAGCAACTTGCAACATCTGTTTCACCAGGGCTATGATTTATTGTCAGGTTGTCTGTCTGTCTGTGTGTGGGCTCAGTTTGAGATGGACAGTTTGAGCTCACGTCTGTGTGCATTAGATCAGTTCCACTCCTTTCCCCTGAGAACGATGGCCGAGCTGGAGTTTGACCTGGAGGAGGTCAAACTCTGAGAACTCTGAGCTGAGAACTAAGGAAGGCAAGAGCATTTCCATGAAATTATTCCCTGTGTCTTTCCAGGCTGTGTACTGTGTTGAAAAGCTGGGCATTCCCATGGAGAAGGTGAACCCCCTGGGAGGAGCCATAGCACTGGGGCACCCCCTAGGCTGTACTGGTGCTAGGCAGGTCGTCACTTTGCTCAACGAACTGAAGCGCAGGGGGAAGAGGTGAGTGCTGAGCATCAGTACTGGCCTCACACCTGCTGGGTGTGCACCTCCCACAGGCTCAGGGGTAACCAGTTTGTGTTCAGCTTTCTCTGTCTCTTGGCTGAGGTAGTAACTCTCCATTTGGGTTAAGGTTTCTCCATCCCATGGATGGCTTTGAACCTGAATTTCTTGGGGGTCTCCTGGCAAAACAGGAGAGCAGTAGACACCTCAAACTTATTGTAATCTTTTTGTTTTTTCCTTGGATGCTTTAAACCTCAGCTTTTTCTTTTTCCTTAATTCCACGTGTTTTTTATTTCAGAGCGTATGGAGTCGTGTCCATGTGCATCGGAACTGGCATGGGCGCAGCGGCCGTGTTCGAGTACCCGGGGCAGTGAGCTCCAGTGCTGACAGAACAGCACCACAGCTCACTCTCTGCCTTGCTAGGCATAGCAAATGATTTCCACTGAAATCATGTGGGTTCTGGGATTTGTTATTAGATCTAAAAATTTTAGGCAGAAATTGTGAAGTAGAATTTAATGATTCAGCTCTGTGAAGAAGGTGAGGAAATGCAAAACTGGCACATGGCTTCCTGACATAAGAAATTAGCTCAGCTGAAATTTAACTACAGGCCCTAGTGTGGTGATTATGAATGATTATTAATTTAATTGATCTCTTTATTCTGTGAATATTACCAGAGGGAGTAGTTTATGGGACAGTATTTTTGTATAACAAATTGGCAAAAAGAGTCACTCAAAATGAAGACATCAGTCCACATGAAAAGACTTTTCCAGCATTTCCTTAAAAGGTTTCACCATTTTTTAAGAAGTTTTACAGACCTTGTTTTGAAGCAAAGACTTGACATCCCTGCCTTTATAACTGTGCCTGTCCTAGCCCAGTCAGAAGTTGTCTGTGTCTTAAATTGTCCCTACACTGGAGGATGGGCTGTAGCTTGCTGCTGCTGGAACTGCTCTGAAGCCTCCAGTGGGGGAAAGTGGAAGAACTGGAACATAATTTCCACAGGAAATGCCTGAACTGAAAGGTTCTGTTGAATTGCTAGAAGCCAGGATTTGGATGTGGCCATTCCTTCTTTTACAATACATGTCTGAGTATCAGTTTGTGTGACTCCAAGGAAAATCTCGTTGTTAATCATATTTACTTACCTAACATAAAGCAAATTACAGCATTACATTTACTGCACGCACTACATGAACATCAATGAAATCTCAGTCCTTCAGCACTAATACAAACATGTTCCATCTTGTATCTTTTGTCATCCCTTATTACTTGGCTGAACAAGATCACTGAAACTCAGCTTGAAAAAGAAATGTACTCATTGCTGCTTTAAATTTTAACAAACAGATGTTCTTTGTCCTGACTTTTGTTTTTGCACTTAATAATACAAGTGGGTTCTTGCAATACATTTGTTTCCTTTTTATGATGATTTTTAGTTGAAGGTCATGATGAGTTAGAGCTCTTTGATATTTTCACAATCCCATGCTGTAGCCTGTCTCACCCAGCAATCACACAGGCCCGTGTGTTAGAGCCAAGAAATTGAATTACTTAGAGGGGATAATGAGCCATTAACAAAAGCCTTTTATTTAATGAGAGTGGAAAATTTAACAGACTCAGAAGTGGGAATTCCAGCGACCTTTCGCTAAAATAATACTAAAATAATTTAAAGAGAAGTGAGAGTAAATGGGAACCATGTGGGGGGAAAGAATGAAAAGGAAGAAGGGTTCCTCCCTCTGTTGCTGAAGGGGATGTTCTCAAGGCCCAAACATGATGAAACATACAGGTTGGTAATTTTCCAAGGAGCTCAGGGAAAGTTGGCTCTTCCCCTTTTCATGTAAGGCACTGAGAAAACAGCCTGGGGAATGCTGGCCTATTCACCAATTCTTGCTTTTATTATGTGTCAATGTCCATTTTAATGTCAAACAAATAAATGAGGCAAAACAAAAGCTACTTTGAGGTGTGAATAGTCTTTAGCTGTAATTCAAGGCATTCTGGGCTCTGCAGAGGGCTTACACAGCTGCTTTGCAATTTAAAACCTTGTTCTTTGCCTAAAGGTAAGCTTATCACAGCAATAAAAGTAACAGCATAGTGTGATTACGGCTGGTTAAGGTACCACGAGAATTTCTTTCCTCATAACCTAAATTTTTATTCTGCTAAAATTCCAGTCCCCACTGAAACAACTGAAGTAGATGAAAATACAGATTCAGCTGATGGCACATCTGCATCCAGCCTGTTACCTTGACATTTGTCCCACATTGTCCTGCTTAATGCACCTTCCCACGCTGTACTCCTCGCCCTCTGAGGTGCAGCTTGCAAGGCTTCTCTTCCAGCATTCCAGAAATGGTCACAATAGCTTCATAGACAGTGTTGCTCCTAAAATGCACAGGAAAAAGTTCAGTTACAGCTATGTGCAGTCCTGTGTTTAGGGATGGGATGAAAAGGGGAGAATGGTGTCCTAAGAATGCTCCAAGTCACAAGCACAGGTCACTAATGTTAGTGCCAAGCCCACAGGGCTGTGCTCCATGGGTACAATACATGATGTTTGAAAATAATGTTCAGGTCTGTGCCTGAAGACATTGGATTCATGTTTGAATGAATGAGAATATCATCAGACTTGTGAAATTCTGATTTAGATGAATAAATGAAATGAGGCTCTGCTGGGAGCAAACACCTGCACTGTCATGATGTGAAAACTCCTCCCCAAGATGAAGTTTGGAGGGAAAAGTTTCTGTCACTCCCCTGAGATAAGAGGCAGTCAGTGGAGTCCAAACTGTAAATTAACACCAAAAAGGTTACAACAACTCTAGTTTTGCACCAAGGTGAAGAGCATAATTTGCCCAAGGCTAATGCCACTCAGTGCTCCTGAGCCCTTCCTCTGTGTCCAAGTGCCAGCTGTTGTAAGGGCCTGAGGCAAATGCCTGTTCTGCCAGACAGTCTTTGTTCTTTACTTCTCATAAAACAATTCCCCTGCAGAAGGACCACTGATCTGGGGAGGTGAATTATTAAAATCATCTCATATCTTGAATATAATTATCTCCTAATGCCGCATTGATCCCACACTCTGCTGGTGTTGGGAATTCTTCCTATGGAGCCCCACAGATGAGCTGGCTGCTACACAGCAACATCTTTGCTTTCTGGTATTTCCAGGCATTTTCAACCATGCTGATTAGCGTATTTGTCAGACAAAAAGAAGCGCTTCAGGCATATTCAGAAGAACTGCAGAAAAATTTAGACAGAAGTCTGGGGATGCTTCTGGTCCACCCACCATGCTTCTCTAAGTAGGGACAGTTAGTGCAGCTGCTCAAGGCTCCATCCCACTGCGGTATCGGTAGTGATGGAAATCACTGGATTGTGTTCCAAGGAGATGGAAGTTAGGACAACAAGTTTGCTTGAAATTTCTCTGTCAGCAGTTTTCAGAGCTCACTGAAATCACTGAGATAGACTAATTTTAACTTCCTGCCACCATATGATAACCTCCAAATATAATTTGTAATGGAAAATTATTTTTTGTTGTTTTTTACAGGAGTTGTGTCTCCCTAATCAGAACAGAGAAATTAGTCTTTGGTTCATCACAGAATCATGGAATGTTCTGGGTTGGAAGAGACAGCAAAGCTCGTCTTGTTCCAAGCCCCTGCCCCCTGAGCAGGGAAGCCTTCCACTAGAACAAGTTGCTCAAAGCCTCATCCAGCCTAGCCTGAAATAATTCCAGAGATGGGGCAGCCATGGCTTCTCTGGGCAACCTGTGCCAGGGCCTCACCACCCTCACACTGCCAAAGTTCCTTCCAATCTAACCCTGCTCTCTGACAGTGTGAAGCCATTCCCCCTTGTCCCATCACTCTACACCTTTGTCCCAAGTCCCCCTCCAGCTCTCCTGGAGCCCCTTTAGGCAATGGAAGGGGCTCTGAGGCTCCCTAGAGCCTTCTTTTCTCCAGGCTGAACACTCCCAGCTCTCTGTCAACAGCACATTTTCAGTCCTGTTAACTGTACCTTGCAGTAAAACTGATCTGCAGAATCTCTCTGGTAGGTGCCTCCCCTTCACGTGCCTCCAAAATGCCTTTATTTGGGAAGATGGAAAATACTTCCATGGCCTTAGACCTTTTCTGTTCATCTGCAGTGGAAGGGGCAAATATTAAACAAAGCCATACAAGACCCTTTGTGTGTGTACAGCAAGTAGCACTCATGGCCAATTCACCTCTGCTGAGCACCTAATAAATCATGTCTTACACTATCAGAGAAACCAGTTTCTCTGCATGTGCCCAGACTCTGTTTTCATGTTCTAATCAAGGGAAACAATGATCAGTGCTCTCCACATTTGAAATAATAAGGCCCTAATCTTCTTTCCTCTGGAGCCCATCTGTTACTAACAGCATTAGGCTCATGTTCAAACTGAACCCATGAGGAGCCACTGCTTCTTGCTGCCTCTCAGGACTGATGATTTAAATGAGCAGAGCATGCCCAAGGATTGTGAGGGCTGAGACTCAATCTTTTAGTTAGATGTTGAGTAACTGCTGAAATCAGTAGTGGTACAATAACATCAAAAAGGTGAGTGGAAAAGCCCACATAAGTGAGAATAAGAGCAGACCATATATATTTGCACCCAAGATCATCACATACTGCCTCTATATCAAGTAAGTGTATACAGTCTTGATAAAAACACTGAATAGTGAAACTCTATAACAAAGAAACCAATTGCAAAACCAGAATTGCAGAATACCCAGCAAAGCAGTCCAGTAGCTTCTGCAGCCACTCCGGTTATACAGGAAGACATGTTCTATCTTGGTCTGTGCAACAAAGCAGGTCTGGAAATCAACCATATCACAGGAGAGCTCCAGGACTGGAATAGTGAGGTAGGCACTCACTGGGACCAGCTGCAAAACAGGGGAAAGGGAAAAGAGAATAAAACCCACCTCATTTTTAAAGAGCTTCAATAATTCCTGCTCCAGCTGGATCATTCTTAACCCCAGCCACTGAATCGAGTCATTGTTCTGTGTTTTTTCACACTACAGTCAATTTCTATTCTACAGCCTTGAGTGAATTGTGGCCCACTGTGAGTCATCCAGTTTGTGCAGATTGCCCAAGATTATGATGCAGTTGACTGTATCTTAGATATAGTGCTCAGTCTGACACAAGTCACGCCTCAAAAATACCTGGTATGAAAAGAAAATAGAAGTGCCTGCAGTGTACTGGGATGCTGAAGGCTGGGAATGGGGCTTTGAACACGTGCTCAGTGGACTTGGGAGCCTTTCCAGAAGTCCTTGGGTGCTGCAGGAGGCAGTGCCTGGTGACTCAGGCATGGTTTGTTCCCTGAGACAGCCCTGACCCCTGTCTCAGAGTCATCCTGTGACTGGGTGTGTGGCCCTTTGAGTGTCACCCAGGCTGCCATGCAGAGAGCTGGGACCAGCACCAGGGTGTGACCCCAACCTGCACAGCCCACCTGGGAGTACCTGCAGAGAGCAACCCCACAGCCATTTATCTTACCTGGATGACCCCATTTACTCCAGAGGTGCCTGTAATTCAAGGCTGAGTAAACCCTAATCCAAGTCAGAGATGCTGCTGAAACAGCCCTTTCCCAGGGCCCAGAGATCCTGTCCTGACCTTACCTGGGTAGTGTGGTTACTGTGCTCAATGACCAGATTTTGATTAAACTTCAGCTTTCTCTCTCCATTCTCCAGCTGGAGCATTTGGCATCCAGGAAGCAGCTGGGTCTCTGGCAAATGTTGATACCTAAGTAACTCCAGAGTTGTGTGAAATGACACTTTCACCTGTGGGAAGAGGAATTCTGATGACCATCACATAAGATGACACTGTGTGCAGGAAATCCAAAGTACACGTTGCACAAAGGCCCAGGCACATATTTTCCCACTGGAACCCAAAGGTGTCGTGCCAGCAGCCAAATTCCCACTGGAACAAAGCAATACAATTGAAGAAAAAAATACAGCTATTTCCTATGAATCCAGAAAACAGAGATGGAGTGTAAAGGTGAACAGCTGATCTCTGAACCACAGGGGAGAAACAGTCTCTAGCAAGCTAAAGGTTTTGAGTTCCTGAGGATACAAATACCATGCTCCCAAAGCTGTCTTAAACATGTAAATCCTCTTTCTTCCCACACATGCAGAATTGAAATGTGTATGTCTCCATGTCAAAATGAACACAATAAAATGAGAAGCACACTTCAAAAAGGCAACAGTTACTCATTCTTTGCAGGTTACCTGATTCTCTGCTCTGGGACTTTGTTTCCTTTAATGTAATTTGTACACCCAAAACTAATCAAATTTTCCTCTCCTTTCACTGCCTCCATCTAATTCAAGGAAATGAGGGAAGACTGCAGTCCTTGAAAATCTTTTAATTTGTCCAACATATATATATGGCTATTGATTTAAGTGTGTTCCAAACCCACAGGGTTTTCTGCAGGAGTTTGCTATCAGCCAGAGTTGATGGGAAAAGCACATCAGGAACATAAAAGATTATTTGCAGAAAAAATAATCTGCACCTGCAATATAGCAGGCAAAATGTCATTAATTAGCATTTGCTAATACACCACCATTTCCCCTGAAACAGGGAGAATTCCATGCTGGTTGTGTTTTTCTGTGGTTCATCTGGGCCACACTAACACACCAACTGCTAAACTCTATTTTGGCACAGGATTATTATTTTTGAGCCTACCAGCATGTTTTGCTGTGGATAAAGTACATGTTGCAGTTGCTGTTCCCTTTCCTTCTTCTTGCTGTGGGATGATTTGGTGCTCTTTTCGGGATCTGTGATGGAGAAGCTGAAGGGTGTAGAGGGCGTAGACAGAAAGAGCCTGAAGTACAGAGGAACCTTGGTACAATTCATGAGTTTCAAACTCTGAGTAATTACTGCATCTGTCAAAACCTGGGGGAGAAATGATTCAGAACTGGTCAGTTTAAACTCCCTGGAGAGGTTTGTGTTGCTCTGTCTGGTCATGGAGC